AATGAATAATGCTAAATAAAAAAATAATTAATTCATGTTCTTTAGCTTGTTAATCTCTAGTTTACTCCTTTAAGTAGAGTTTGTTTGTTTACTGTAGAGTGGGAATTGACCCATAGCTGACCCTCTGGCAGGTTTTCAGAGGCGATTAATTTCACAGGAGGAGATTGTCCGTCTTTTCCCACTAAGCATCTGGTGGCCTCAAACCTTTGGTATTATAGCACAGCACCTTGCCACTAGGTCACCGGTGCTTCCTGGAGTAGGCCTATTTCTGAGAATATAATGGTTTGCCTTTGATTGAGTTATTGCAATGTTGAACTTACTGGATCATAGTCAATTTAATAATTTGATATTAGGGGCTATTTTTTTATATTAGGGGATATGTTTAAACAAAATCTCTCTGTAAAATAGAATCATAAACAATGGAATTTAGTATATTGAAAAAGTATTACAGATTTAGTAGGGCAATTTTGAAAATGCAAAAAATAATAACTACAATTTAATTATCCAGATGAAACTAATTTTGATAATTTCATTTCTTTGCCTTCTGTGTAGTTGTTAGTTTACTGTATATTACTCTGGCCTTTGTGCAATTGAAAATTTAATTGCTGAGTTTCAGATTATATTTAAGCTGTTATTTACCTATTAAGCATACTGTGCCTATTCTATTCAGACTCACAGCAATCTTATATTTTAAAGTTGTTGCAGCTGTTAAGTGACCGACAATTGAATCTTGAACAGATCTGAATCTTTCTCTGTTCTACTTCACCTTTAATCTGTCATCCTCTCTCGAGCTAAATCCACTGCATAGTCACTCTGTCAATCCATCTTGTTGAGGATCTTCCTGGTTTTTGCTGACCTTCTACTTTTCCAAAGATGATATCTTTATCTAAGTACTGGCCCCTGATGAAAATCTGCCCAAAGTAAGCAGATAGAGGTTCACCATCCTTACCTATTAGAAGAACTCTAGTTGAACTTCTTTCAAGACAGATTTGTTGTTCTTTTTGCAATCTGTGTGTTCTTCAGTAGTCCCAAAGGTATTGATTCCTCTTCTGTCATTCTTAGTCATTGCCCAAATTTTAGATGTATAACAAGTAATTGAAAAGACCATATGTTAAATCAGAAACACCCTAATCGTTAAGTTGACATCTTACAGAGATCCTTGACAGCAGATTTACCAAATGCAACACATCTTTTTTTTTTTCTATAATTATATTTTATTAAT